ATTTGTTTTGTTGTGTTTTTAGTGGAATCGGTCAGCATATATATACTGTTAAATCAGTTTCCGGCGATTACCAGTCGTAATATTATTTACTTCATTTCTCTTGGATGTGGTAATTTTTATATTTTGTAAATTTTTCTTGTTTTTTTATAAATATAATAATTTTTTTAGTTTTTTATAGGCTTGGAATTTTTGATATGCACCGCGTCTGGTAAAAATTCTGATGTGATTAATAATTTTTCGGAGAGTTTACGGCGATTGTTAATAGTATCATCATTAAATAGATTGTTTGTGGTCTGTGGATGTTTTACATTTTTTATACATGCACATAAATGTTTTCGTATTTTTATGGACAGGTTTTTTTAATGTTTTAAATAATCACAGTATTTTCTAGTTTGTTTAATAGGCAAAGTGTTTTTTAAATATACGTAAATACAGTATTTTCTTAGACACTGAACTTCCAGAACGAATTTGCATCGTCAATATATCGCCTTTTTAATGACAGCAAAAATCCACGCCAAAATGCAGTAATTCGTTATTCGCATATGCTCTGCATTGGTCACAGACACCGAGTCACAGCGGCGGGGAAGAAAAATGTTTTGCCCGCTTAAAAGCATCGTCCCTATAAAAAAAGTAGAGCTAATGTATTTAATTTGGCAGCCCTTACCAATACCGACCGGGTGGTAAATCAATCCGGTTGCCGGTCGAATTAGCCGTGAATTTCCATACGTTAATTGCTTGTCGCAGCCCAGCCAGCCATACCCACGTCAGCCGTGATTTGGCTCAAAGTGTGTTTATTTGAATATTATGTTAAGGCGCGCGCACTGCCCTCGCCAGCCATCCCCAATTCGGGGCTAAGCAATCAGAGTTTTGTCAGCTGGATGCGATGGGGAGCAGGATGATTAGGCTGTCATGTCCAATCGCCATCACGTGTCACTGCATCCGCTGTATCAGTACAGTGCATTGTTTATAGACGTACTGGTACCGGCGTATATACATAATTTGTGTTACTGTGCATTGGTCGTTGGCGCTGACCGTGGCGGCTTTACGTTCGTCAGCGATGCAACTGTTTCTATCTTTGGTATATATGTATACACCACGCCAAAGACAAACCGGAAGTTCAATCAACCGCTACGTCTGCCTGGATGGATGCCCGTGATTCAGTTGTAACAAGAATGCAGAAAATGTCAATATGCATCTGTCGGCGGAAATTCCCGGTGTAATTTTCAAACGGAAATATTTATCTTACAAAACTGTTCCCAGAAAAATTTATAAAAAGCATAAGTCGATGAAAATTATCATTACCACGGATTAAGTCGCCATAAAAAATTGATAGAAAATTAGTTGTGCGAGTAATTTGTAAAGTCGTCTTTATAACGACAACATTCATTAGTATTGATTAATGTTCGGCTAAAAAGAAAACAACAAATTCGCCAGAATGCGATACTCGCGCGAGAAACGTAACATGACCGACAGCTACTAATACCGCACTTGTGATGTGTATTTTTGGAAACGCTCCAGGAATGCGCATACGTCGCAGTTTGGCACTTGGCGTTTTTGACGCTGTGTATTCCGAGACACTTGGAAATTTTATTGCAGATTTAGTTGGCTTGTTTGTATTTTTAATTGCCTGTTAAAAACTACAACTGAATTTTTTAATTATCCATAAGAAAATATTAAAGTTCACAAATTCTACGTTCATTAATTTAGTTAAATGTCATCAAATATACCATTATTGAGACATTAATGCAATTACTATACTAAAAATTTGTATTTAATGAAACTAAAACATATGTCTGCAAGTAATAATAAAATTTATGCTACGACCTTTCTTTTTAAAGACTAACTGTGCTATAAAGAATGTTATTCGATTTGATACTATTTTATAAAAATTTAATTTGATTTGATTTTTTATGGACAATCTGTTCGTGTAATGTGTTTATTATTTTGTTATTTATTACACATATTAAAAATTGGCTGCATAAAGCTACCGTTGCATTTTCCGGATCAATAGACGATAAATACATCAGCGTAAGAAAAAAAGAAAAATAGCGTGTATGAGTTGTTTGATCAGGCAGTGATAATCGACACCGGCCGATGAATATCAATAACCCGTATGTAGCGCGGGAGAATTGTTTTCCCGGCTCCTTTCCTTCGCATTGGCTGCCCATCAGCTGGGCCCGCACTTTACATAACAGCTGGTCTTTTCGGCGAGCTGCCATATGTACGGGGCCGATAGATTTTCCCATAAAATTCCATCATCTTACTGGTACTTTCTCTCTCAGCGTAACCGATGCTAATGTAAGCCAACACACAGTCGACACGCGCGCATCGGCCACCGTTTCCCGTCATTGACGGAAACGATGCGACCGGCGCACTCACAGGCAGAAATGGCACAACAATATATGCGTAATATATTGATAAACATGTACAGATGGCGTGGATGCACTTTAACCGTCGTTTACACGACGGCTGGTGGCGGTAATTGGTAAAGGTCACGGTGATATTCACAAATAAACTGCAGTATTTGCCACTTTTACTTTGATGTTATTATTTCGACTGCACATAACCTCGGCTCCTGTAGCATGTTGTGTAATAAATTAATTTTATTTATTTATTATTTATAAAGCATTAAATGGTTTCGTACAAATTATACTAAATTTTCTTCGTAATTATGCGTCTTTGTCGTTTTGTGTGCAAAAAAGCCCTTTTCAAGTCACAATCATTTCGCGGTGGGTGGTAGCTACTTTGTATTTAGCCAAATTTGTGTGATATTTAATACATTTTACCCAATACTTTATTTTACAAATTATTCAATATACTGGACATTCTTTAACACTCGTAAGGATTTAGCAAATTTTATTTACCATTTAACAAAATATACTTAATATTTTACTTCATATGTAGTTGATATATATTTGACATTTCTTTGAGACTTCGTATATGTTTAACCAAATTAACCAAATTTATTCAACCTTATAACTCATTTTCCCAGTTGATGTTTCATAGTATGCGTAACAGTTCACATCCCGTTTGACTGTATGTGTAAATGAAAATTCCCGCGAGGAACATTTCTCACCCGTGCATGTGACGCTGTTGTGATTATTTTGCCGTTTTGGGAAAAAACAGCGGCACTCTCCGTTGTGACGCCATTGTATCCGGGTAGGGGTATACACCGTAGGATGTGTAATCAGTTAACAGCGCCCAGCCAATTTGGGATGCGGTCGCTGGAGAGTTGGTTGGCCGCCTGGGAACCGTGCCGCCTGCAATCACGCCGGCTGACCGCGCAGGCCGGGATCGCGCGCTGTTTAACGTTGACGACCTTCTCCCACCGCCCCAATTTCCGCCAGGGAATTTAGTGTCGGGTTACACTTTTTTCTGCTGTTTACCTAGTTGAGCAAGTGAACATATATCCGTACGATCAGAAAAACCGGGATTTCGGTTAAATAACTGCTTTTACAAATTTGTTTTAGGATAGGAAAAGGACGAAAACGAATGTTTGTTAGAGATATAAGTTAAAAAATCCCCTTACAAAATACATAAATTAGGCATGAGTATTGGAAATAAAGACTAATATTTATAATAAATTATTATATGAGAAGTAATTAAATCTTAGTTTTTACTAATACCAGATTATTAGGAAAACTGATTTTGCTGACAAGAAAATGCAAAAATTTATGGCGGTTGAAACAGGAACTTTGCTTTTTGTATCTAATTACATTCATCTAATACCCGTGCATGGAGTTAGCAATTCCAAAACCCGGGAAAATCAAAATGCTTGATAGTCTATAAATAACTTTTCCTGTAAGCCGAAAGCCAGTCTAATTTTAGGGAAGCCCGTCAGAGAAACGTTTCTTAATTATCGCCGACACATTGTGTTGGTAAACACATTTAACCTTGCGAGACCGTCCACAGGTGACGGGGTACACCGGGGCGCTCGCTAATAGCGGAAACCGGCAAATAGCGTCCGGCTGACGTCATACGTGTGCTCGTCTACTTCCGGTTGCTGCTGATTCGCAAAGTTTGCGTTGGCAGTGTGTCTGACCAGTGCAGTATATACTTGCGCGTCGACGGCAGGGGGCGGAGTCACGGGATGCAATCACCGGCATCCCGGGAGGGATTTGCGCCGGGCTCCGTAATTTGCTGCTCCCACTGTGTGCCCGCATTACACACACTAATCATTGCGATCGATAAGCGAAGTTTGCTAACCCTCTCTCTGTGCTAACGACAACAATCGTGACAAGCGAATAATCCGTGTTTTTTTTATAACGATAGCCTGATAAAAAACCCGATTGATGTGTGTATCTTCCCGGGATTATGTTGATGTATTCCCCCGGTTTCGCGGGAGCATCCAGGGCGATGATCTCCCGGAAGAGCTTTGTGTCATGCGATTGTCTGGCACTAATTATTGCCCGCGTACTGGATGTAGTGCCTCGAGCGCCGCTTCATCGGCGACGGAGTGTGTATTAAAGATTCATGTGCAGTAGACTGGGAAGCTGTTGAACAGTCTGTCACCTGGATGGAACCTAACAATTACGTTACGTTCTTCCGGTTGGCTGGGATTCTTTACTAATTCCACTATATGATTACCGGAGTTTTCAAGAAAACTGTAGTTCCCTTAAATTCGTTTGGGAAAAGTCTGCCGACCATTTTATCGCATCATATATATACGCTCCAGTGACCTTTTGTATAAGTGAAAGACTTTGTCGCTGGGTGTACAGGCGCTGATGCGACTAGAGGAATCAATAAATAATTACCGTCATTTTGTCTTTCCCACTCGACCCATGCCGTTTGTTGGCTTAGATGTATGTATGATTAAGCAGTTATAGTTTTTTTTCTCCATAGCCATCTCATTCGCTGCCACGGCACTCCGCGCGAGAGAGGGAAAAGAGACGCATAGTGCGTCCAGTGTAAACATCCTTATTGATTATCAGCCAGGCATATTACAGACCCACAGTCTTTGCTGCGTAGTGCGTACCAGTATTCTTTCTCCTCTTTAACAGGAGTCGAACGTGAAAAAGTGAACACACTTGACCTTTTCATCGGTCAGACCCGCGAACGCCGATATGTGCCGGGGATAGAATTCAGCTGCTGATCAATCCATATTGCCGATATCCTTCGTTTGACTATGTCTTCTTGATTGGAAAACCGCTATTTCTCCCATTGGACACATCTCCAATATTTTCACTATGGATAATCCATGAAGCAGCGCAGTCCGCGGTTTTCTCGGGAATGCTGTTCTTTTAATCAAATTTACCAGGAATAAATCTGGAATATTAACGCAGTTATTGGATGTTGTATCCCGCAAACTGGAATTTTAAAAAGCGAAATTCTTTGTACATAAGTTGATTTGCCGGTAATGATTATTATGCACCGATTCGCCGGTACGCACTAATCGGATGACGGTCTCCATGGATCATACGATGGACGCGCTGATCGGTGCAGCGCATGATGCCGGTCTGACCAGTACACCGTCGCTGCACACCATGCAGTTATGGCCGGAGATTGAGAGTATCCTGACGGAATACGGGTTGCGGTGGGAGACGCTGGGTGGCAGTCAGCAGGAGCAACTACTCAGTGTGGAAGCCGACAAGCACTGTCGGGATGCGGAGGCCGGCGCCTGGGATCCGCAGTGTGTCCGCAAGGGCTACCGGTGCTATATTGACTCGTGGACGGATAGTGCGCGGCTGACGATCGAGACAGCCAGCGGCGGGAGTGGTTCGTACTGTCCCCCGAAATTTGACGGGTATAACTGGTACGTGCGATAAAAAACCTTTCGTACGGTTTCTTCATGTGATTTTTCCCCTACAAAATGAGATTTCTAGGCGTTGTAACTGAACAAGTTTAAACGGTAGATAAAACGTTTTAACGTTACTCAAGTTTTAACGGTATATTATTTGCAATGCAACTTTGCAAATATTCGCCGTGGCTAATATTTTTATTCGGATTTTGTTATTTTTGCTGAATTTTAGCGTTGTTCGATATCGTATGGTCGATCGATTTTCGCGCCGGTTTTCTAGGTTAATTTTCAGCACAATGAAAAATTGTTATATGACGTCCATCAATCAATCAATATTTCTATTACACTTTCCATACAAGCGTAACCATCCTAAGCGACGAAATAACCTTTGCGTCTTGTTGATCATAAGTTGCTTCACAACATGTTATACATTCCGCTTCTTTTCTCGGCATAATGAGTAACATCTCAGCCAGAAGGATAGTACCCGTATAAACAGTCTCCATGTAATGAAAAACGGACGAATTAAATTACAGCACTTCATTTACCGATCAGGCGCTAAATAGTGGGCTGTACCAACACGTTTGACAGGCGTTTCGTAATACCACCGACATGTGACACTCACTCTGACTGTATCTGCGATGCTGTCCTTGTGATTACAGCTGGCCGGCCCAGAAATCCGGACAACTGACGGCCATGCCCTGCAGCCAGGCCATTCCGGCTGAGATCCTCACAACCTGCCAGCGCCTACTGCGTAAGTTCACATTTCCCGTGCCCACTTGAAGCGTATAGGCAATACACATCCGATCCCGGCAAAGTCTAATAATACCCGGTGCTGCGATATTGTGCCAACACACACTTAAGAGTGGCGAAGCGCACTGTAAAAGGGGATTAGGAGATAGGAGCTGTGATGGCCAGGGAGATTAGTTTACAATGGCAAGGGAAAGGTCGTCAGTGAGAGCGCGGCGCCGGGCTAGAAATGAGAATTGATGAGACAGGCCAGAGCCCATCAGTGAGCGGGCAGCTGTCGCGCGCTGACATGTGCCATATCCGGATACAATCCGCGGGTAGCGCCGGATTGGATGTCCTCTCGCGCGTTAACGCTTGGCGACGGGTTATCGTACTGGCTGACCTTTATGTTGCCATAACAAGGATTTCGAAAATGTTATACTGTGTTTGTTCCAAAATATCGGACTGGTTGTGACTTGTATACTTCGACGTTTATCGCATTCCGGACACTTTCACAATACGGATTCGCGTACCGGACACCAGAGACACGATATCCCTGCGTTGTTCCACATTAGAAACTTGATAATTTTTCATCAATCTCGTGTACCTACAAGTTTGTAAAAAACTACATATCATGTAACCAATTTTCAAAAACGTTTTTGCTACGTGGAACAACGCCGAGAATGGTAGAGTCCGGTACGTGAATCCATACTGCGAAAATGTCCGGAATGCAAGAAACGTCTAAGTATGTGTAATGTTATGAAGCTGAACGAATTCTCCATGCTGTCATATTGTAGTTTATTTAATTCCTCTAACCACTAGAGAAATTTACCTTTAGGCAATCGAATTTTGGGTCTCCCGACATAATGAACCGCTAACCAGGTTTCTAGTAAATTCGTTGAGACGAATGAGTAAATCGTTAAAGGTTGACATTTATCTCGGATATGTCTCATAAACCACACACTTGTATCCGGAATTATTTTTTTCATAAAAGCGTAAAGCAGAAGTTTTTGCCGTTTTGCAGCTACCTTGGATACAGGCACCCTGCACGCTTTTCGCGAATGCTCGGAATACGGCGTGTGGGAGGATGCGCGGACTAACTACAGCGCCTGTCATAACTATGTCAACCAGTGCACCAAGAATATGACGGATCTACAGGGCCGCTACAACCCGCTAACGGATACGTGGCCCTTTGATCTGTCCTCCAATAACAGCTTACTCGATGTAAGTGCAATGTCTGGTTGGCGTCCTCACTTCGCATTGTCTAAGCACCCTTCATCATACTTGGGGAAAATCCTGGATTATGCGCGGGTCATTCGGGAAAAACACACCGTAGTGTGTTTTTCCTGCGACAGTGTTAAACAAGAATGTTATTGACCTGCGTTGATAGTTTGCACTGTGTGGACACACATTCAATACGGTGACTGAGTGGTTCTGTGCGCAGGGTGGAGCCGGTGAAGTCATGGACGAGGAAACCAAACAGATTGTCACCTACGTGTTTGCCGGTCTGGCTATCACGTCCCTGGTTCTTCTGTCAATTTCCTTCTTCATCTTTGCATACTTCAAGTACGCTGTCTGAATTGCAAACCAGTTATTATTTATATACATTAAAATACGTAATTCCTATATATTCCATTAGCGCAAGTTGTCGCTTTGCAGAACACTCCACTGCAGTCGCAACTCGATCCATATGAATCTCTTCGCGGCGCTGATGCTACAAGCCATCGCCTTGTTAACCATCTTGTCACCAAGGATTAGTGGCGACGAAACACTGCACCGATCGGCAAGTTGTAAAACTGTTTCCACTATGTACCGTAACTTAATCGTCCGGTCTTATTTGCAGGCATGGCTGTGCAAAAGCTTTATGTTCTTGTCACTCTTTACCGTTCCTGCTAGCATCTTCTGGACGTTCGTCGAAGGTCTGTACTTGTCACAGCGGTTGACGTTGGCGGTGTTTCGGAAAGAAGCACCGTTTCGGATGTATGTTTTTATTGGCTGGGGTAAGGATGAACCTCATTGTAGGTTTATAATCGAGTAAAGATCCGTGAAGAAGTGTTTGCGCTTTCGGTCTGTGGATTTTCGAACTGGTGAAAAGAAAAGCGTTTAAAATCGTATTCGCAAAACCTGTTTAACGTAAGTAAGTTTCTGATCGAAAGAAAGTGTGAACCAATAGAAGAGTACGATTTTAAGCTATGCTGGAGCCTGCACCGATAGACGATTCTATTAAAGTTCTTTCTGCGAGTACGGATGTATGGAAGTACAAATGTACAGTACGTACAGTTTTAACACGAATATATAGTATGTACGTAAGTATGCGGCTGATACGATTGGTCGGTTGTGTCGCTTGGCATTGCTGAAGATTTTATAAGTAGACGAATGGTCATTTCAGGAATACCGCTAGTACTGGTCAGCATTTGGGCCCTGATGACAGAGCTGCACGTGGAACCCGACGCCACCGCAGCGCTGTACGCATCCAGCGTGGAATCGGTCCTCCCGATTTCCACTCACACCATCTCCACGTTGAACCATACTGTGCTAACGTACTCCGCAACCAGCACGGACGATCAGCCCTTTCGCCCGCCGACGGCCAATACGTGCTGGCAGAACTACTCCAACCAGCCCTACCACTGGATTATCACCGGGCCGTGTTTGGCCGCACTGACTGTAATTTTATTCCTTGACCTTTTACGCTTAGCGCTTGTGTGACACGGATTTTCTGCAGGTTAATTTCATTTTTCTCGTGTTGATCATCATTATCCTGGTGACCAAGCTGCGGGCTAACAATGCGGTGGAAACCGTACAACTCCGGAAAGCGATTAAGGTACGGCTAAGCAATCATCGTGCTGTTGCCAATATTCGTTCTGATTGGTTGAATATACAGTTCTGATTGGTTGAATATACAGGCAACTTTCTTCCTCGTGCCATTACTGGGAATTTCGAATCTGCTCTTTTTCGCCAATCCTCGCGATAAGGGTCCAGCCGAAAAGGTAAACTTGCAGAATTCTGATGATTCAAAGAAATTCCACTGATCGAGTTTTTTGACGCAGGCGTACCTTGTCGTCAATCTCGTGTTGAAAGGATCTCAGGTACGCAAACCACTAGTCGTTTGTGCTGCTTGGTACGCCGACAATTTGCTGGCAACTCTTTGCTGCCCAACAAAACTTATATCCGACGACTTACTGAAATAGTAAATCGATAACCGACAGGTTTCTGAGTGACACCGACCAAATTCGTACATAATGATAGTACTGAGCGGAGCAACTAAAAAGCTCCGAAAACCGTTTCGACAGAACGCCGGTCAGCGAGTTCACGGAAAAGCAAAACTGTCGCTTATTTATTTGTCGGTCAGCAAGTAGTATAAATCAGCAAAACGTCGACTTAGGTCACAAAGATGACGTGTTACAATCGTTAGTCGCGTCCGTATATTATTATTCCACTTATATTTAGGGTATCTTCGTGGCCTTAATCTACTGCTTCCTCAACTCGGAGGTGCGCATGGCCATCCAGAAGAAATTCTACCGCGCCGCCCTACGTCGCAACCCGGAAACGCAGAGTTTCCGCCTGAACAGCCTGTACGAGCGGGACCGCGACCAGACCCTGGAGCAGCGCCGGAAATCCAGCAGCCGCGCCGGCAGCACCACGCTGGTCTCCTCCACGGAGGTAATGCGGGCCATGTTCCGTAGCCGGCGCAGCAGCAGCCGGGCTAGTCATAAGGCCCGCGCCGCCAGCCTCCAGTCCCCCAACGGGGTGGGCCTCCCGCCCACCATCGTGGTGACCAACGGGCCCAACGGTCATCCGCCGCAGCTGGCGACCATTGGCCCGTCGCCCACCATGACCACCTATACGGATCTGTTCGCGGCCACCCCCGAGCCCGATGAGCGGGCGGGGCTCATGGAGACCCCGGGGCCGGAGACCGGCGAAGGGAGGAATAACGGCGGTCCCAGTAATTGTTGAATCGTCTGTATGGTGTTACGCGTATGCACGGTTTTCTGGATTAATTTCCCTGGATCCCGGTTTTTCGTTGCTTTGTGATAAGTTTTCCTAAGTTGTATACTTGTATCTTTCGATGTTGAACTCGCTACCTGTCGCACACGGTGTTTATGCAATTCGGAATGCTGGAGATGACCTTACATGTCAGTATAGTGTGGAAGGAATTCAGAAGCGATAATTACGCGTATGTTTTTGTTGTCAGTCTTTTTTGTTTTTATTTTGTCTAGTCTCATGGTGTTTCTCCGCGTAACTGCATTTTGGCAGTTGTAATCAAAGTCTTGATGTCATTGAATGCCAACACGTTGTCTCACAGTGATCCAAGTGTCCTTTGCTGTTCTCATAGTGCAAAACGTTAAGCAATGTTGCAGCAGTACGACCAAAAAGCAAATTATATATGTACTGGAAAACGCTGACCTTTACGTAGACATGTAATAATTTATGATCGTGTGTAAATTTAGCATGTTATTTTAATTTTCAAGTGGATGGAACCGTAAGCGGCCGATTAGTCCGGAGTTGAAGGTGATCGCGTGCGTCGTCAGTTAATGTTTGTTACGTGGATGAGAGTTTGTCGGCACGGCGTTGGTATTTGTTGTGGATGTTTGTTCCGTCCGAACGTGCATTGACGTCTGATTGTCTATGGACATACGCCTAAGGGAGTATCCAGAAATTTTGTAGCCTAAAAAAGCACCCATTTGAGCCCACACTTCGCCGGCTCCCCCTGTACATTAGAGATGGGCATCGGATAGGAATATCCGATTTTATCCTATCCGAATCCGAATTTCGGATAGGATAAAGGATAATTATCCGAACCGTTCGGATACGGATTAGGATAAGAATCACGCACCGTAGCCTACGGATAAGTTCGGATAACGGGTGCTTGTCCGAACTTTGTCCGAGAATCGAAATAAATTATTTGCGTTGTTAAATTGCGTTGTTAAATTGCAAGACTTACAAGCGGTAGCTGTAAGACTGCAACATTAAAGATTGTCGCAGCACCAGGATGCAGTTGTTCTTTTGTGCAATAATTAAACGTAACTGCAGCTTTCGTACTTCTATCGGCTTTTTGTACGGAGCATAAACTTGAAATTCTTCGATATCGAAAATGGAAGTTATATTTGATCCTGTCGTATAACTTTTCTACATACATTCTTCTCCGTACTGTACATTCTTCTACTCGTATAACTCTTCTTCTAAATTAAAAACATCCAAATTTTGTTCACTTGTAATGGATAATTTGACTGGATTAAGACAATCATTTGCCGGTGTCGCTGGTGAACACAACGGTGTCGCTTGCGTTGAAGTTGCGATCCTCGTTATTGTTAAGGAGAAAATCCTTTTGACGCGGCATATTAATGGCGGCGACGTAGCTTAATCGATAACGTTAATAACTCTGTCGTTATTAACTTTTTTTAAATAAAGAAACTGCGCTGAACGTGTCATTACAGTACAGTGTACAGCACATGTACAACGGTTTTTGGCAAATAAGTCTTTTGGATAACCCTTTCTTCCCCAACACGCGTTACGTATTTCTTGTAGTGCCAGTGATGCTTTGTTCGAGAACTCAAGACTATTCCATTCCTTTTCGACGTAAGCTGTCCTCTGGGCGCTTTGTTTGCTGCTGTCCTGAAGCGTAATAGTCTGCCAAGTTTTATTCGGTTCACTTTTATACTTGAGTCTTGCAAGACTTGAGCCCAAACTCAAAGTCGAAGGCAAAAACATTTTCACGAGGTCAAACATACTCCCCTATTTATGCTACGGTTACTGGCTCGCTGTTCCGTGGATTTTAAGCAGATGTGAAATTATTATTATATATTAAGCAGCTTGCTCTTCTCTTCGTTATAGCTGATGAAAATCCAGCGTCTGTACCAGCTGAAAGTCGCCAAAGCCAGCAAGAGCCAATCCAGTACCCCCTCCCTCCCGCCCCGCCTCTTCCTGGCCCGCCGCCGCACCGTCACCGACCCGTCGGAAGTGACCGCCACCCCGCCGCCCCGTAACCGCTCCCTGCACTTCTACACCCCGCAAGTCCGCTTCAAACTCTTCTCCGGCAGCCGGAGTAGTCGCGGTAGTCAGCGCAGCACCGCCGCCATCGACGGCAGCGCGGAGAAACTGGTAGCCACCGGGGTTCCCACCACCCAGCTCAGTCGGGATTCTTTTTCGGTCGATGTCGTGGAACACCAGGAAAATATTCCCAACGGGCATGTGCGCTTCAATCCCATGCCAGATTATGTGGAAGCGGCGCCCGCCGTGGAGCAGGAAGCGGATGACCTTTCGGAGGAGGGAGGCTTTCGCAGCTGCCGCGGACGGGCGGACTCGGTGACGGCGGCACGGCTGTTGGCGGCCGCGGAGGCGGGGAACCGGAGAATGTTCGGATGCATCCAGTGCCCGGTGGGCGGTTGACGATTCAGATCATCAACCATAATACGTCAGGACGAACATGATTAATCGCTATGCTGCTATTGTTAATTAGTATTATGAGTAACTTTATAGTGAACTTATATATTATTGATAATTGAGTAACTGCATGTATTAGTTTGCTTGTGATGTCAAATCTGTGTACCTGCATTCGTATTTTCTATGGTTAGCTAATTCCTATATTTTAACAGTGTGTTAAAATGAAAACTTTCCTAAATCTGAATTCTGTGACGGCAAACTGCAAACCGGTATCGGGGGGATAAAAATGGCACAGTGTGCACTCCCAATCAGATTTAACGTACTCTGTATGAGCGACGTTAAAATCTCAATTTAGTCGACGTTTAGTTTTTAGTTAAGGCGTCGTTTCGTTTAGTCTAATTACGAACTAAGTAATAGAGTCATAAAACAATGCTGGTATAGCAACATAAGTTAGTTATTTAGCATTTTGAGGGGCAACTAGCCGTGCAGGTTGGAAAACGATGTAAAAAAAGCCACAAAGCTGCAGCTGTGATTGCGTTTACCAGAGTACCAGAATCCAAAAGCATCAGCTGACAGGCTCGGCTTTTTAGACGTAAAAATAGTCTCGTACGCCAAAAAAAGAGAAACCAAACTAAAGGAAAACTTAGAAACAGCATTTGAGCCAGTTTCCGATAAATCTGCAGTCATGCGGCGCTCGTGGTACACTGGCGAGAATAGTTAGACATGTTCAGAACATGCTGCCCACGTTCGCTACGATTCGTAGTTATGTCGCGCTCGTCGCCAGAATTCAACTTCGTACGCCCAATAGTCACCAACCCCGCTGAATGTTACTGATGCGAGCTCCCATCGTGTCCGTAACATTCATCAAAACTATAGAAAATAAACGTTATTATGCAGTATGCAATCTTATAAGGCAGCAATGGCCAATGGCAGTGCTTACCGGCAAAATTCGCCAAATGCTCGCACTGGCACACGGTCTTCTGGCTGTCACTTCTGACCACCATACAGCCGCGCGTCGACCATACTCCGTGGAAATTCATCGCCGTATCGGCTTTGTAATCCCAGAAAGCACACACTGACCGACCATTAGCCGGGGCAATGTGTTCAAGTGTAATGGTAACCGGTATCTTCAGTCGACCGGGACGATGCATATCGTTGACTGCCGCCGTTATAACCTTCGAATTGATGACCATACCAGCCGGCACACTGTCCAAATATGGCCCAACATTGCTATAGGCCAAGAATACCACCTTGACCATATTCCCCAGGCCCTGATTCTGCAACGCCCCCGCTGTGAACTGGATACTATCCACGGTATCGTTGTGCGGTGGTAGCGTGACCTTTCCCTCCATCTGTGCCGTTTGAAATTTCCCGACGCTCATGCCGATATTTTTCTCGAGACTTGTCAGAATGGCTCCACTAGACACACTCTCTGCTAGCGTGAGCGATGTGGTCTCCAGGGCGGCTATCAGTGCCGTCGCCGTCTCCGCGCGGTCCGCTTCGCCTAGCTCCACCCAGCTGGTATTATGCCGCACATCCAACAGATTACTGCCCGCCTTTAACACCTGGTTCGTTAATTTTTCCACACTCGTATCTTTAGTATCATCGACCACCGTTGGTCCTGGCATCGCTATCTCAGTTAGAAGGTCCACCGCGCTCCACAGGTCCGCCGCGGAAGTAATAACGTTCTTGGATATCTGACACACCAGTTCCTCGGCAAGATTTTCCGGTTTCTCATGTCGGTCGGCCTTCTGACGAATGTCATGCATCCAGGAACTTGTGCACTGTGTAATGTTGGGGAAGCCGTCCCATCGCGGTGGACTGGTATCCCCGCATGTCCAGTGGGCGAATCCTAATCGAGGGAAAGAAGACGCACAGATGAAGTAGTGCTGCACACGTTGTGTAACCGGCAAAACCGTCGAGACGGCTAAACCGTCCGCTGTAAAATTTTGCCCATCCAGCCTTTTTAATTTCATTGTGGACACGGACACCCGGACAAGGAATTTCGCCTGGAATGCATATTCGGGAGCGGACGTCTTACAGGCAATGCGTCACCCGGGTGGACGGTTTTACCGGTTACACACGAGACTCAGTACATTCGTTCCGTGGTACGTTGGTTTGGACCGTTTTACCGACTACCAAATCTTCACAGATTTTTTAGCAATAACCAGAAATACGACTACTACTTAAACCTGGAATGATGGAACCTAAATAGCCATATTTAGGTTGCATCGGTAGGTCACTTTTCTTTGGAATGAAATTTTCTTGATACCTGTACCGATGAAATGCATCAGATTTGGAAGCAGGTCGCTTAGAACCGGCTCTGGGAAGACAACCAAGTAGTGCTTGTGTCAAAAGATATTGAAGTGTTTATGAAGGTCCCCTAGTTGCTAGCACAGAAAGACACGCTTTTTTGAGGCGCACTACTTTCTCCCATAATTTACCTTCCGTGTTGTGCAGACACTGTTCGACAGCCGTGGCTCCCTTTGGTGTCAGGGGCCAACGGATACCTAAGCCCATAATCGATGAGCAGGATTCTGTCGCTGTCAGCGAATCGGACGAATGTTGCACCAACCGACCCGGGAGGTTATTAGTCGTATCATCATTCGAGTGAGAAGAATCTTTGGATGTTATGCTTGATGGTTGAGCCAGGGGACTTGCTGCCTCTGATAGAGTAGCAATGGCGAAAACAACACTGTATGCGTAGAATATCCTCAACAGGCACATCTTGGTACAGGCAAAATTCATGCAGTCCGCTACAGATGTCAAGATTTAAGATCCTCAGAATAAAGTAAGAAGAAATGTACGTATACCCGTTGCACCTATTCTGATTCCGTACTACCGATAAAAATAAGACTACAGACTACAGACGACCCTTCCGGTGATTTTTTTCCATGCCGGTATGTATGTACAGTTACAGTGAACGTGTCACGCGTGTAATGTGTAAGATAAGCAGTATTAAGCACTAGCAAGTGCCGTTGGCAAGGAAAGCGATTGACTCGAGTGGGGCATCTTCTGGCAAATAATAAAATAATTCTATCAAAAAGTCAGGAAACCGTTGGCAGACATAAAAAGTTGCCTAGTACACGTTAACCAATTACCACAGTACTTATAACTTGTGTGAAAGGGCACATCTCGGTAAACGGTTGATACTGGACAATTATTGTCTGACAGATTCGCTTGCAATATTGAGCAATCAAATACCGGTATACAGTTATGTAATATATGCAACCAGTATGCACTGCTTTACTTGATCGGATCTGATCTCAGATCTGTTGCTCAGATCTGTTAATAATAGATTTAAGCGACGTACAATCAGGCAGGAAAAAAATTGATTTAACCTGTATTCGCATTTATAGATCGCCACACTTAACTCGTTTTGGTAGTTTAAGTACAGCATAATTCCTTACGAAGTCACCGTGACGAGAAACCATTTTAATTTCGAGGTTGCTGCAAATACATAAAAAAGCTTGGACTCGTTCCTGCCGATGTCACCACTATCTCCGCAGTGCTTGTCAGCTTCTCACCATAAGAAAAAAGCAATACTTTTCGCCGACCGCAGATACTACGGTCACCTGCCAAAAAAACTTTTTGAAATACAAATCACGGATTGAAGCACCAAGGGGTTTCGCAGTAAAATACAACTCCAGACTGCACTAATTCTTTGTAATACACTATGAATCTCGTTCCTGTCGGAAGGATGTCCGTGGGGTGTGGGGCGCTGGTGTGCGCGACTGCATGGACCGCTGTCCCTGGTGTCCGGGGGAGCGTTGTGCTGCGAATTGGCTGCGGGCTTGCGTGATGCGCTGCTGATCGCTCATACGACTATTCTGCGCGTCACGTCGCGTCTCGTTCCGGGGAGTGTGTGCCGGGTCCAGAGCTGCGGGTGAGAGACTACCGGGACGACGCTGTGCCGAGGTGCTGCGGTGCCGGTCCTTGCCAGTATCTCGGTCAGTATCGGCGGGTACGGGGGAGCGCGATCGAGGGGCGCTGGTCGGCCGGTGGGGTCGAGGGTTTTCGTATAAATTCCCATTTGTTTCTGCAATATACGCTTTACATGACAAAGGTCACTGGAGATCGGTCAGTCTTGTTGGGCAGCTTGTATGGTCTGCTTTATAGGTTGTACAAATTAAATCTTGAATACACTGCAACGTAAAAACCTTATACTAATTGCACAAGGAGTTATACAATTTGTCTCACGTAGAGTAAACGCTTTTGGGATAGAGTGAGCACATGAAAGGTTAATATGAAACGTATATTTTACTACATTAGTGAGAAAGCTAGTGCATTTTCGTACAGGTTTGTAATCTGCCGTACATCTATAGTATCTACTATACAAGACGTCGTAGACACTCGTATGTATGTATTTTTCGTAAACTGAGTGTGTTTTATTCTGTATTATATTATGATCCTGTGCCACCTTATACTTGCATGAAAAACAATCACTTAACATCACAACGTCAGTAACACAGTAAGTATTGTAATTCAGTAACTCGGTGCTTCAGTGATTCGGACTGTACAGTATCTTGTACTTCAGTAATACTGAGCATCTTGTGTATAGGACCATCATAGACAAGTATCTGTGTATATATACGAATATTTGTGATTTTGGTTGTATTTCTCACAAATTTCGCTGAAAGCACAAACGCTGTTAGTTACCTGTGGCTCGTTTTGCTCCACCTTCCCTTCCTTTTCCCCCGGTGGTCTCTATCTCCTCGGCCTCTTCGCGCAGCGACCGCGAACTCTTGCGCAGCGTATCGACACTCAACAATGACTCTTGTGCCGACACCACGGTATGGCCGTTATGATGCCTCCGGGAGCGCTGCCTGCTGGAGGAGCAGCCCACCTGCATGGCCAGCCGCCGACGGATCATAGGGTAGGTGATGAAGGGGTTCCAGCAGGTGGATGTGAAGCCGATCGCCGTTAAAATCAGGTTGATGACGCTAAGTAACGCGCTCTCGTCCACATCGCGGAAAATGCGCACCATTAACAGGAAGATGTTGATGGGACTCCATGCCTGGTTAAATACAGATATTAAACAGACCTACTAAAGCGCTTAAAAAGGTCAAATGCTTGTTAAGTCGGGCACACATGTACGTACAACAATGAAAAGTACGATCATTAGGCACACCCGGCTTTGCTCTCGAGCCTGAAGTTCGGCGCAACAGTAAGCGCAGTCCACGCCGATCATCTGCGGAACAAGACAGTTTTTGTCAAACAAATTTTACACGCTCCAGAATGGTTTCCTTTAAGGTAAAACAACCTTTTAAGTAAAGCGTTTCTGATGCTTGGTTGATGTAAGACCAAAAATAAGTTGATGCATCGTGTTATTTATGCTTTGACGGTATCGTAAACTGTTAACGCTTACGTACGGAAAATGTCTCCGAATTAGTGCTCTTCCGCCGATCATAGTTCCGGTTATTCTCTTCAGGCTGAGCGCGCTTCGTCGGCGCCAACCGGTACATACTAGTCACCACCGAGTGATTACTGTTCAAACTAAACGTCCGACTGAAGAGACTCCGGTTGTCCCGTTTCCGGAACGAACCGCCCGTGCTATCCGAGTCGATCATCAAGGAATTGCTGGTGACCCCGGTGTCATAGTCCGTCCACGCCGTCTCCCGCATAATGCACTCCTCATCGCATGTACACACCGGGCGGGTATTCTTCTGGGAGAAGGTCAACTCGGAGGAGGTACGGGTCAGGAGGTAGATCATGACGGCGGCCGGGAGGAAGAAGATGAGAAAGAAGGTGGCGCGCAGGTAGTCCTCGACGTTCTTGTCCAGGCTGATGAAGCACAGGCCGCGGTTGCGGCACACCGGGCCCAGATGGGCTTCCAGGTCGATGTACTGGATGAAGCTGGCGTAGGGGAGGACGGAGATGAGGGCCACCAGCCAGGAGGCGGCGGTGTACACCAGTACGGGACTGCGGCGTTTGTCTGTGAACAGGGCAAAAAAATTAGCACTTAGCACCGCTCTGTGCGGTTTGAACGGGAACGTTCTACGCAGATACGCTTGTCCCGTAATTTCCATGTAAAGACAGAGATAACAATTTTATATATATATATATATATATATATATATATATATAATGCGGACGGTTGCGTTTTTCGATTGCCATTACACTACGTCCACCACAATGGTAAATTCACTCCTCGCAGACTTAAGAGTTATAAAGGAGAAAAATTAATATTTCATAATGCATATCGATAATTTATAATTTAGATGGATATTTGGCATGCATCAGGTATGCAAAATGCATGTAGAGCGTAAACAGTGTGGCGTGGCGCGCCAAAGTATAAAGTTTGGTGTAGCCCAAGAATTTATTTATATTTGTTACTTTGTAAATGCGTTAGAAATTACGGGAAGCCTGTACAGTGTACAATATCACGTCAGGAAACTTTACGCAACTAATCCCGGTTACTTTTGACATATATAGTATTCGCGTTTACGACTATTCTCTGTAATGCAGCAGCAATGCGATAACATTTTAGAAACAGTAATCCGACATTTTACTTTGTGTATTCAGTGTTACACTGCCTAGATGAACGACGAGTTTTTGCAGCGACCAGTTGTTTTAGAACATCAGCAGAGAAACCGTAATTACGGTATCGAATAACAGCTTGAGTAAATTACCTGGTATCGTATTCCCGTGTAGCGATCATATGCCAGACCGAAGTAGGTGATGATTGACACGTGAATGGGGAATACTTGCAGCATTGGTAACGTATAACACTGTAAATACAGAATACTTTCATCAGATCCAGAGAAATTTGTAAGGGTCACCCGGTATCACCTGTTCTCGAATTACCTGAGCCAAGAAAATTTACGGTGAAAAATGATATATATAATTTTAGAAGTTTCGATTAGCAAAGCGAAAGGTCACCACCGTGTTTGCACTAAAGCTATCAGAGGAAGCTCCTATAGGTGCACAAAAACGTTAAGGTGTTTATTTAACGAGAGGCCAAAAGTACGATTTAAGAGGACTACCATTTCGCTAAATCGCTAACGCCCAATTTTCAAATTTCGTCACACGCAAAAGCGGGGAAGATAGAACATTTATA